CACCCCCCGTACCCTCGGGCGCGAAACCGCTGGTCTTACGTCCCCATAGATTTTCGATTCGAACGCCCCAATGGATAAGGACGTGAAGCCCATGGGTCCACATACAGCTTGGGACTTTTCGTAGGAACAGGGTCCAAGCTGCGCATTCAGGTCACATACTGATATGCCGTGGGACGCGTGGATTAGGCGTGTTGGCACAAATGGGCCGTCCCAGGAGTCCGATGGGATGTCTGGGGCGTCCAATGCCTGTCTCGTGGGACACGTGGGGCGTTCAACGTCAGTCCCACTGGACATATTCGGACGTCCCAGGTGTCCCATGGCACAGCCATTATTGGACGCCCCACTTATCCCATTGGACAGCAAGTGGGCGCCCCCCGTGCCCGATGGGACAGCTAGGGGCGTCCAACGTATCCCATGGGGCGTCTCATGTGTTGCTCGTCGAGCATCGTATGGGACGCCTGGCCCATTGCACGCCCACATACATCCCTGTTTCAAGAAGAGTTCGCAGTTAGCGTCTCAACCATCAAACTCGCTGTTTATTCATGCATCGTAGTAGCTATCTAGGATTACGAACGCCTGTGGGACACCTCAGGGGAACCTGGCTGGGCCGTCCCACGCCCCTTTTCGAGCGCCGCGTGGGACGTCTCTAGCGTGGTGCCATGGGGCGTCCCACGGGTCCCACGTTCTAGATTTGGTGTCCCATGGGACGTCCCACGTGTCCCACGCGACGTCCCACGTGTCCCACGCGTTCGTATGGGCCGTCCCATGGGACAAGTGGGACATCCCACGCGTTCCATGGGACGGTCCACGTGTCCCGTGGGATAGCCCGCGTGTCTCATGGGACGGCCCACGTGTCCCGTGGGATAGCCCACGTGTCCCATGGGACGGCCCACATGGGATTCCAATAGTGTCAGCCCTTGTTGATGTGAGGTCATGCTTCTTCTAGACTAGAAGTCAACGCAGCAATATCGATTAACACAGATAGCGCCCGCACTTAAGAACTTAGCAGTTGAGAAATTGAGACTCGCAAAAAAACAGAAGCTAAGAACTTGAGCACCATTTGTGAACTCGGTTAAGAACCCTTCACTAAAACCTACATAGCAGCCATTTGTAGCCCACAAGAGGATGATCATCAAAATAAGAACCCCAGCCTCGGCCGAAACGAGAGGTTCTTAAGTGCGGGCGCCATCTGTAGGGTACGAACCACTCGGAAAGCGAAAACAAAAGGATGAAAAGAATATACAGTAACAGTTACCGCACCGACCGTTCGAGAAAGAGCCCTCGGAAACCGATCAAAATAAAACATATTTTTTTTCTCTCTTTCTGTGCCAGATGGCCTTGTCTCTGCTTGCGTTGTGAAGTACCAAGATTGAACCAAGGGGGTGTACCTCATTCTCTCCGGCCCGTGATGGTGACTCCTAGTCTCAGTTGTCACCTCGCACAGCGCGCAGAGGGAGTGGAGGACTCCAGAATATCTGTTGTTGATTTCTATTGATTTGCGGACCCCTCGGGGCAATTCTATTTGAGTGTACCTTTTTAGGGTAAGTCAGCCTGCGACCACGGGAATCGACCGCGTCGAGTGTTGCATCAGTACCGACATACGAAGGTACTGGGTAGAGAGAGATCGGAACGGTGTTTAATGTGAAGACAACAACAACATGAAACAAACAAATGATGTAGATGCATGAAATGATACACTTTGTCTTTACTCATGGTCCGCGCTGCCTACAAATAAATGGGAAAGGTAGCTATACCTTCTGCCGACACACGGGCGAGAGAGACGACCATATCCACTGCACTTAACACCCACACCCACATGTCAGTGATGAAACCCCAACCACACGCCTCTATCGGCGGCCACGTCGGAGGCAGTGACGAGATAATGTTCTCCCGTGCCCTTCTCACATTTAACGACATGTCGTTACACAACAACAAGATAAACATGTTCTCCCGCGCCGCACATGCCCCCATACATCACACACAAAAAATAAGTTGATGACGAAAATATACACACCCTGAGACACGCTTGCTCCGCAACCACATAAGGGTGCCGTAATAGAACAAACACCCGACAACGTTCCCCTAAATCTTCCGTCTAAAACTTCCCAACATAACATACAGATAGATACACAAGATGGCAACCAAACTGCCTTGTTGAGCCTGTTACCCACAGGGGAGATATCGGTGCTGCCTGGGAAACCTGTGTTTGTAGACAAATGGTGTTCCGACCGTCGACCTTGCGTTCGACGAAGCGCGAGCTCTACTGCAAATTGTGCGTGCCCGGGTACCGGGTGGCACGAAATTTTTGAAGCTATTTCTACCCATGTCTGGCGTCCAATAACCCCGACGGTACGACACTTGGACTCGTATCATGTACGCCAGGGTTGGCGATTCTCTTGCACTCACCAGTGTTCAACAGCTTTTGAGTTGTGGTTAGAGGTAGACTACTACTGTACAACCGACACGAAACCAAAGCCACTAGCAGGTTTCCAACCCTCAGGATACACGACGGCGCTAGGCCTCACTACAGTTGGTAAGATTCACCCCTAAGCCCTTACCCCTAACCCCATTTCCCACACCCCAAGCTAGGTTGCAGTGGGTAGACCTACAGTAGATCGCCGTACAGAATTACTGGAGCGCTTTGCGCTCGCCAGCCCTGGCGTATAGCTATACGCGTCGCGACGAAGCTTCGGTGCCGAAACTATACTTCACCTTGACCTACAGTACAGCAGTACAGTGGTCTACGCCACCCCTGTTTTTCTTCCACGCCCTCCCCCCTACCCCCCCGTGGGGCTTGGGTTTTAGTCGCTTGGCAACGACGTTGTAATACACGCCGATCGCTTCGTGAACTCGACAACCAGGTTGCCGCTAAATGGTGGTTCAAGTAGACAAAGCGGATGATCGCACCACGTTGTGTTAAATCGGTCGAGCACCCTCGAGGCAGGTACACAGCCGTGCTCATAAAATAACTGTCACTAGCAAAACACCAGAAATAAGTCATTCTCAGTTGTCATCCGTATGCAAGGAAGTAGGCACAAGATGCCGAACAGCTCGAGCAAGATGCCGCACACCCTCCATGCGACTCCCCCAATACCTCACGGCCCTTCGCGCTAGCACTTCGCGCTTGACGATGTGAGAGCCTGGTCCGGTGAGAACCCGGCGTGCTTCGTCCCGGCATTGTAGGGATGCGAGGCCAGTGGTCAAACGACTACGGCATGCACGACAATGAGTACATCCCCACCCCCACCCTCCGGTTGACCACTCTAGCGGGTGCGATCTTGAATACTACACAGCGGTGGTGTACACTAACCCCGATGCGATGACCTAGCTACGTATGATACTTCAAGCAATTTCCTGCTACCAGCAGATCTACCGTACCGGCTGTAGCAGGCACATACACTGTTGTAATTTCGTAGATGTTCTCGCTCATTAATTGCGCGTCTCGGTGCCATACCCCCGAGGTGCGGAACCACCAAAGCGCTGCCTTGGCCCGCGGAATCGTGAGTAGTCTTGCGGTCCCTATCCGCCTCCGCCTTTGTGTCCATAGTTCCAGTTCACCCGTGAGCTCCACCACCCGGACGTCCTGGCATCACCATGCCCTGAGCGCCGGGTTTCCTTCAAATTTGAATCGAAAACCGCTATTGGTCGCTGAAGACAGGTCCGATGACCGCTACTGGGAGCACGACCGGTTAGGCGATACAGCGAACTCACTAATCCGGGACGCAGCCGTGCCAAGAGATTTGAACCGCTGTTCATGGCCTTTCCCTCAAACGAAGACCGTTAACCTGGGCCACCGAGTGTAGTGCGTCAGCCTGTGGTGGTCGTGGAAGGCATGCGCAAGAAGGGGGAGGCAAGTCGGATAAGTAGCAAGATCGAGGCATGTTTTGTGTAAAGACAACAACAGCACAACAATGAATGGCCGTTGAGGGGGAACCGTTGTGACTACAGCATTCTCTCAGCCGTGCCAGGCCGGGGCTTTACGGGGGTGTATTTTGTCGCTTGCTCATCCGTACCCACTGCTGTCGCCTGTATTGAACTATGCGTACGCCGAGAGTATCTGCCCCCCGCTGTGTCGAGTTGTTGAATCATCTCCCTAAAATAGTGCACAGAGTCGCGATGGACCAGTTTCGGTTCACTTGGATGAAGTGCATCAAGGATGCCGTGCTCCCATCCGACAACGGAGCGGACGACCCGGGATTTCGGAAAACCGCGCCCAGACTCATCGAAGTATTTTCAATTCAACGATGAAAATGGGCATGGGTCCCAATTTCGTAGCGTGAATCGAGGCTCACACGCCAGGCCTCGATTCATTGCTTACTTGCTTGCGCTGCCGCTGCCACCACCGCTGCCGCGATGCCACCGATGGTTGTTTTCTCCCGCTCTCATAATTCGACTCGCAGGTGTCCCGCGACAATATCGTCTAGAATGCCCATGCTCAGTTGCATCGCTTCCGCGCCGCACAGACAAGTGGGGGGGGGGGGG